TAGGCCAGGGGTAGGCAACCTTTCCCCTTTAAGGGCCGAGGGACTTCCACTCCCAGAATCCCAGGAGCTATTGGCCAACATGGGACTATTGGCCAATATGTCTGAGGCTTCTGGGAGCTGAAGTCCCTCGGCCTAAGGGGAAATGTTGCCTACCCCTGATTTAGGCAGACAGATGGGAGTTACATCTGTTATCTGAAAAACATAAAATTAGTTCAATCATACCCAATAATGCCAAATCACTGTATTATTTCTCTGCTGCCTCTGTTTTCCAGCTTATAAAACTGGTGGACAGAAGGCCATCTTATCCTTTCCCTACTTACACATAAAGGAGAGTCTCTCCACAAGCCAGCTCCCCACCATTCATATAATCCAAATGAAACATGAAAGTTAGTCTTACGTTACAGCAAAAGAAAACAAGCAAATGAGCCTACTAGTCAATCTGACCAAAAAGTAGGAAATATGATAAGATCTCCATCTCCGTCCTACTAGGTACTTAACAGAATGGAGTAAAACAGCTTCAGGTGTCAAAATATAAATTTTCCATTTAGGAGTACAGAGCTGCACACATAACTAGTAGCTCCATGTTAGGTCATGTTTTATTACACAAGTTCCTTCAGTTAAGCAACTTGTTATTCAACGTTTAATTTTGGTCTACTAAAATCAAGAATCCTTGGACCACTTGGAGGCCTCTCAGGGGGCTAGTATATACACCTTCTGCAGATTTTGCAATCGAGTGACTTGTGGGGAGCCATCATGACAGGTAAACGTAAAGTCAGGACACAGATGTTTGTTTGTTTTTTTTGGTATAAACTTACTCAAGAATAGTATGCTAAGCTTAGAAGGTACAGGTAAAGGTAAAGGTATTCCCAGTTGATAAGATTGTCAAGTTGTGTCTGACCATAGGGGCCGGTGCTCATCTCCATTACTAAGCTGAAGAGCCAGCATTGTCAGAGACTACTCTGTGATCATACGGTCACCATGATTGCGCAGAATGCTGTTTACCTTCCCACCGAAGCAGTACCTATTTATCTACTCACATTTGCATGCTTTCAATCTGCTAGGTTGGCAGAAGCTAGGACTAGTGACAGGAGCTCACCCCATCATGCAGCACCCGGTCCTCGGACTGCCAACCTGCCGATCTAATCAAAGTTAGAAGGAGATAGTTTCCCCAATATTCTGGAAAATGACACCCTGCTTCTCTTGATTGAGATAGGGAGTCCAGCCCAAATTCTCCAGCAGAACAATTTCCCATTCCTAGTCCACAACCTAGTAGCTAGTAACTCCAGTGTTAGTTCGGCAGATTTTAATCTTAACTGTAACTGTTCCAGAGTTTAATTTTAACTGTAAAGGTGCTCTCCAAGATGGTGAACCTGTTTGTGGGACAGGATACAGTACCTCAAAACTCTGGATTCAAACTCAGAAAGAGTTGCTAGCTAACTGAGCCACCATCATTTACCACAGCCTAGCAGCTGCTGGTTGCTAGAATTCTCATGGGGAAAGCTTGCACTTATGTTCATAAGCAGAAATGTTTCATGTCATCTTTAGAATACCAGATCTCAGGGCCAGGTCCTGAGTTGTCATGGGTCATCTCCCTACAGGAGATAAGGATACAAATTCTCCAGTTTTGGTGGTCTCACCTTCAGGTAAGAGGGAAGGGCTATGTATAGATCTTCAGCTCACCTAGTAGTGCAACAGCTTGCTACAATTTGCAAGCCTTTATTGTTGCTGCAACTTGCCAAGATTCATCAGTGAGTCTATACATTTATTTTCCCTTTCAGTTGCTGCAATGCCAGGACTCACCCTTTGCTCTGTAATGTTCTTTTTAATGTGTCTCCAAGCAGATGAGCAACTTCAGTTGGTACTTAATGCACAACGCTTAATAACATCACCACAGGTCATCTCTGTGTCTCAGTTTTTCTGTGAAAACTCAGAGCCTGGAATGACCCTGAACTAGCAGCACCACATATAACAAAAATATGTCACGCCTTAACACAGATTCTGAATAAGCAGTCTTACATCATGATTTTATTGGTAAGGAAGCCTAGTTGTTGTTTTTTTTAAAACACACACACACACGGCTGAAATTGTCTCCTCTAGATCATTCCTCTTCAGTGCAAACCCTAAGAGTTGCATCAGCAGTACCATTTTTAGTTTGCTTAATTTTTTTTCTTATTTTTTTTTTTAATGAAGGACAAAGAACAGCTAATACGTACAAACTGGCCCTCCACATTTGCGGTTTTGATTTTGCAGATTTGATTATTTGTGAATTTGATTAATATGTTCTCTCTAGGAATCTCCAGGTCCTCCAATGCAACTCTACCAGAAGTTGACCATAGAGTTGTGCTGGAAAACTGAGAAATTCATAGAGAGAATGCTTCTCTAGGCATCTGTAGGTCCTCCAGCAGATGTTGACCATAGAGTCGCACTGGAGGACCCGGAGATTCCAGGAGAGGTGTTCCCTTGGTACAAAGAACAGTATTTTTTTATTTGCGATTTTTCCACATTCACGGGGGTCCTTCACCTCTAACCCCAGCGAATGTAGAGGGACCAATGTACTATCACATATGGCTAATAAATAATAAATATTGTCAAAAATAGATGTTGATTCCTTTACTGCCCATTGGGATTAAAGCTTAAAAAGTATTTTGGATCATCGCTTCTCAGACTATCTGATATGAGGGGGAGGGAACCAGCAATGTTTCCCTAGGGTGTCAGAGACCAATACCATATTTATTCCCATTGGCTACAATTGTTTCTTCTTTCTTGGAAACTCTCCACAGACCAGCAATGAATGCCTCATGGAACCTTACTGGTCCAGGGACCACCACTTTGAATAGAACTGCTTTAGATAGCAAAACAGAAATACAGTTGGCCCTCCATATCTGTGAATTCGCCATTTACAGATTTGATTATGGGCAGTATTGATTAATATGTTAATCTGTCTCTAGGAACTTCTAGGTCTTCCAGCACAATTCGGCCAGAAGTTGACCATAGAGTTGTGCTGGAGAACTTGGAAGTTCCTAGAGAAAACACTTCTCTAGGCATTTTTAGATCCTCCAGCATGAGTCTTGTGGCAGATGTTGACCACAGAGTTCCTAAAGAGGTGTTCTCTAAGGTAAAAGTGGCTGAGTGGGTACTGGATACTGAGGTATTGTAGTTAATGTCTCATAACAAGGCAGAGTTCCATCTTGCCTAAAAGAGGCAGATGTAAGGCCTTTGTTTAAAAACCCATTCCTGAATCCCACAATAATGAATAATTATCGGCCAATGTCCAATCTACCATCTTTGAGCAAGGTTTTAAAATGTGCGGTGGCTTCCCAACTCCAGGTTTCTGGATTAAATGGATTGTCTAGATCCATTTCAATCTGGTTTCAGACCTGGCTATGGAAGAGAGACAGCCTTGGTCACCTTCTGCAGTGTGGATTCAGCCTGAGAAAAACAAGACTGCAGAAAAATAAGACTGCAGTTGGTACTTAATGCATAAGCACCAACTAGTGCCTAGTCCTAACTTCCAAGTAGGAGCCAGCTAGATTCTTCACACTGCTGTCACTTGTGGATCAGTGAAAACGTCTGGGATTCAAATTCCAGGAGCGGAGGTTCACCCCAAAGGATTTTAGCAGACAGGTAGAGCCTACCAGGTTGACAAAAACACCTGCCCCATCAATCTGACGGGTTCAAAACTGCCCCCAACCCACTTCATAGAATCACAGAGTTGGAAGAGACCTCAAGGGCCACCCAGTCCAA